TACTAGGAATTGAACCCTGAAACTTTTCACTGAGAGCCGTATCTCCAGATCTTTAAAAAATTGTTTAATTTCTCTGGAGATAAGATCTCACTTAGTTGTTAAGTTGCCCAGACTGGGGATGAACTTGAATTGTGCCTCAGCCTCTTAGAGCCATGGCATTACAGGTGTATGCCACATTACCTGGCCTCTACTGTAATTCTTGAAAAATTTTCTTCCACTAATCATTATCCCTAATGGGAGCAACGTTAGAGAAATTTTTTCTCCTTGTGCCTCAAGGGTTATTAACAACCCCTTCCAGTATTGTCAGTTTTTTCTTGAGATTTTACTATGATTTGTCCCCTTTCCAAATACCAAGGATATAAAATGAATAGAAAAGAGGTTCTTTCTCAGAGGAATTCTACTAGGAAGAAAGTTAAAGATCACCATGGAACAAAACAGGACAGGATGTGATATTGAGCAATTGTGTTTTGGGGAGATAGCTCAGGAATAGGAAGATAGCTTAGTAGCATAAGTGCCTGCCTGGCAAGAACAAGGTCCTGAGTTCAATCCCCACTACTGAAAAAGAAAAAAAAAAGCAGTAGTGTGCTCAGAGATTTTTTTTGAAGATGATAGTGGAATTGAATAGAATGGAACAGGTCAGCACAATAGCTCAGCAGACTAAGCACCTGCTTAGGCAAGTGTACAGACTGGGGTTCAATCCCAGACATTACATACCACTCCTGCCCCACTCATGGTTGAGCTGGTGAGCAAGTCCAGGCGTGGTGACATGCTTCTGCAATCCCAGTGTTGGGGAGGCTGAAAATAGGGTAACTACTATGAGTCCGAGGTGGGGAGTGAGACCCTGTACCATATACATTAAAAAAAAAATAAACAGGATGTGACATTAAGCTTTCCTGTGTTTAGACATCCTTTGGGAGCTCAAGGGAGGACGTGGCCTAGGTCTATCTGCTGAGGTCACATCTGAACTTCACCAGATGGAGATGGCTCTGCATAGGACAAGTTGGCTGAAGAGAACAACTTCTGTAAGGGGGAATTACAGAAAGCAACACTTTGGGGAAGAGTTAGCAAACAGGCCCAAGGCCACCACCTGCCATGGATTCAGGGTAATGGAGCACATGAGAACAGAGACAGGATGAAATTTTTAAACAAGTTGAGTTTCTGCCTGTGTGTTGTGAATATGAAATTCGCTTATACTGGGTTGCTCAAAAGAGAGAACTAGAACCTGAGGAAAAAGCTGTGGTTGCAACCAGAAACAGGGGAGCGATATAATTTTTCAACTGACTCCAGACAACATTCATTCTATGTGAAGTAATATGTGATCTTACTAATAATAGAAATTTCCACTTGGGAAAGGAAGGTTTAAACCCTCTTTGGGACAATCCAATGACAAATGGAAGTACATTGTTGTACACACAGATATGAGACTGAGAAGAGATAGAACTAGACAAAAGATTTTTTTTTTCAGTGCTGGGGATTGAACTCAGGACCCTGCACTTGCCAGGCAAGCACTTATTCTACTGAGCTATCTCCCCAGCCCAAAATTTGAGAAGGAGTTTTTTGTTTTTGTTTTTGTTTTTGGCTGCTTCAGGCTGCCTTAAGGGCAGATCTGGTACAGCTTCTGGAGCTGGAAATCGAACCGTGGTCCTACGAGCCTGCCTGCGCTTACTCACTTTAAACAACTGAGCTATCTGGTAAAGCCCTAGAAAAAAGATTTAGATTCTGGAGAATTTAGCATATAAAGGATTTAACTATAATGTCATAAATTTGCACCCAAAACATAGACTTAGACAGCCAAGAGAACAGGCTTGACCATACGGTGTTATTCTAGATTCTTAGGGAGATTAAAGCAGCCTGACATTTCCCAAGTCATATTACTCATTCAAGTGCTCACTTAAATCACCCAACGCTTGCTAGAATGTGCCAGTTCTCTAGCAAGAAGAGAACATGTAGTCAGTTCTCTAATGTAGAGGAAACTTCCTCAAACAACTGAATGAGTAAGGAGAAATACATGGAAATACATACACGCTTCAAGGAAATAATAGTAGAAAGGGGAGTGATGGGGGAGAGGGAAACGGAGGGGAAAACCACCACCAAAAGTGTGTTATGTAAGATAAAGAGGGACGGAAAGATCAGGAAAGAAATCAGGTATACACAAAAACACAGTAGTAAAGAAACTAGTTAGAATACACCAAAAATAATAATAGGAACAATTTTCAAAGCGGAGGCTAGACTCAGGGTTAATAGAGATCTCTTAAATGGGAAGGTTATTAAGTAATTAATAAAAAAAGTGTTCAACATTGACTTAGAAACAGGCATGCAAATGTATGACAAATTGATTTAGGACACAACTATGGAATTGTCAAAAAAGAAAAGAGTAACAGATGAGGTAAACATGGGCGGAAGGAGAACATGATCATTACATAGAAAAATAAAGATTATGAAACAGCACTTAAAGAATTATACAAGGGGCCGGGGAGATGGCT